AAGAGGAAATATATGAAAGAAATAAAGAATGCAGACTAAAGAAAGAATGGGAGAGAGATGTAGAAGATATGTACAGGACATGTAGGATTTAAGGTTTCGGGTCTCAGGTCTCAAATACAAAAAATTAAAATTAAAATGCAAAACGAACTGATTACCAAACCCTTAATTTTAAGTTTTGGAATGACATAAGAATCAGCTTTAAGTTGAAGAAAACTTGACAGTGATTTCATCTTATTTATGCAATTTAATCTCGCCAACTGCAAAACGTGTAGTTTTACTTTTGATGCTTCAAGATTCAAGATGGTGGTTGTACAAGCTGAACAACAAGGGAACAAATAAAAAGAACGTGTTCTTTTACCTACGGGCTCATATGGCCTGCAAGGTGACAAGGTCCATAAGTTCGGATTCAGATCCTAAGCCTAGGGATCAATTAATCCGGTTCGTTGAAATTTGATTAAACGGCTACAAACAGGAGATCCCACTAAAGGTATAATAATTGTAGTCATTGGATCAAATTTCAACGGACCGGATCAATTGATCCCTAAGCTCATAATCCTTAGATCCGGAGAGGATCTGGATCCCATAAGTTTTGGTAGTGTACACTGTATACTGTACTTTCATGTAAAACGTTGGGAGCCGGGAAGGTAAAAAAAATATCACATGACCTCAAACATCTTATTTCAAAGGAGCGCATAAGATGTTATAATTAAGGAAAAATATGAGAAATCCAAATGGCAATATGTATGGAGCTTAAACTTTTAAGCTATCTGGAAGATACGAGTATTTCACATAGTTAATAACTTAATAGATATAAGTTTTATATGCATATCCTCCTGCTACGACTGAAACAATAATTGTTAACGCCAATGAGCATTTAGTCTTGTAAAACGCAGTCTTCACTTTACATCTTTTGAGTTTAAATTTCATGGATTGTAAATGTTGATTAGTGATGTTTACTTAGTCACCTGCTGACCAAAGATTCATGGTCACTCATCGTTGAATTTGATATCTAGAATTGAAATTAAAACACTAAAAACACTTCTATTTATTCTCTAGATTTGATTTTAAATTCAAAAATGAGTGACTATATATGCATTCAGTAACAGAGAGAACATTTCTATTATTGAATGGTAAAATACGACAACATTGACAATTTTTGCGATTTTTTTCAAACTTAGATCTTTGAAGGCAGCCTTCAGTTGATTGCAAGTCTAAATTGGTCTTGATGTCTAACTATCAAGCCCAAAAGCCAATATCTATTGGGTTAACCCTTGAAACCTCTCCCTTCCTCTAAAGCCCAACTCTATTCCGTAACTTTCTAAAGGGTCCATAAACTATTACTTCAGTCGAAATTGACCCTTTGAATTATTTTTTTGGTAAATTAACTTCCTAAATTATTTAAAATCAGCCAATTAACCCCTTGCCGTTAGATTTCATCCACTATTCCATCAAATTCAAGGGCAAATTAGTGTTTTTATCATCAATTCTTATTTGTGAGTTATAACCACCAATAAAACAATGACACATGGAAGCATACTAAGAAACATAAAGAAACCAAACGTTTACATAGCAAAACATTTCACTTTGTCATTACACATTACTATGAGTCCACATGTCATAATTTTATTGGTCATTATAAGTTACATGTAAGAATTGATGATAAAAAGACTAATTTGCCCTTGAATTTGACAGAATGGTATATGGAATCTAACAACAAGGGGTTAATGGGATTATTTCAAATGATTCAGGCGGTTAATTTACCAAAAAAATAGTTTAGGAGGTCTATTTCAACTAAAGTAATGGTTTTGGAAGGTCAAACGACAATTTACCCTATTAATGAAGAAGACTCTTATCAACCAGGTAAGCCACCATTTGCAGTTCCATCATACTCATTCAAAAATGTAAGATCAACTTTTTTTTGAAAAATCATAGCTTATATGAGGGATACCATTGTAAGGCTCATTTTATATCGTACTTCAACATTCCAAATCATTTATTTTTGGGAGTTTTATCGAAAAGTCCACAGTACTGTTCACTTTAACGAAAAACCACATTTTTATACTAAAAAATCAATCCTGATACTATTCACTTTACCCTTTATTTTGTTCTTATCATTAAAACACAAAGTTTTCAAGCCATTTTCATTAGTTTTCCTTTTATTTTTTAGGACTTCTCTCCCAGCTCATCATTACTAGAAAATTACCAAAATTTAAAGCCATATAACCACTAGATAAAATAGTGGTCATGTAATTGTTATTTTAAAAGCACAGTATATGTCTATTCATGTCACATCCCGAGCTCGACTCCACTGTAGCACAATATTGTCCGCTTTGGGCCCCGACCACGCCCTCACAGTTTTGTTTCTGGGAATTTACACGAGAACTTCCCAGTGGATCATCCATCCTGAGATTGCTCTGGCGCGAACTCACTTAACTAATTACCAAAATTTAAAGCCATATAATCACTAGATAAAATAGTGGTCATGTAATTGTTATTTTAAAAGCACAGTATATGTCTATTCATGTCATCCCAGGCTCGACTCCACCGTAGCACAATATTGTCCACTTTGGGCCCCGACCACGCCCTCACAATTTTGTTTCTAGGAACTTACACGAGAACTTCTCAGTGGGTCATCCATCCTGGGATTGCTCTCGCGTGAACTCGCTTAACTTCGGAGTTCCTATAGAACCCGAAGCCAGTAAGCTCCCAAAAAGCCTCGTACTAGGTAGAGATGGAAATATACATATAAGGCTTACAGGATTCATTCCCCTAGGCGATGTGGAATGTAACAATCCACCCCCTTTAGGGCCCTGACGTCCTCGTCGACACACTTCCGGCCAGGGATTGGCTCTGATATCAAATTGTCACATCCCGCCCTGGGCCCCCACCACATCCCAGGCTCAACTCCACCATAGCACGATATTGTCTGCTTTGGGCCCTGACCACGCCCTCACAGGTTTGTTTCTAGGAACTCGCACGAGAACTTCCCAATGGGTCACCCATCCTGGAATTGCTCTCATGCGAACTCACTTAACTTCGGAGTTCCTACGGAACCTGAAGCCAGTGAGCTCCCAAAAGGCCTCGTGCTAGGTAGAGATGAGAATATATATATATATATATAAAACTTATATAAAACTTACAGGATTCACTCCCCTAGACGATGTGGGATGTAACAATTCATTTATTATAATTAGATGTCTTAATAATTTTTAATTTATCTATTTTTTGTCTATAAATAATAAATTAAAATATAAATGATTCGAATTGTTAAAAAATAATTATGAAGTTTGTCTCCACATTCGCTGAACAATGTTTGACTTGTTTTTTTAATCATAAGTATGAGGTTTGGAGTTGGCTTGATCCAAACCATAGCTTATAGATTATAGTCCAACAAACTTGACATGGCCCAAGATCAAAAAGCCCAAACCTCAAGACACATCATTTTAATTTCTTACAGACTGGTCCGGGTGCTTTGAAGGAGGACCTATAATCTAAAGGACTCGAACATTTTATTATTATTATTTTAACAAACAATATTATCTATATTAAATGAGTAGGTGATTGGATGATTGGGTTAAGCCTCACATGAATTTGCAATAATATGGTTTAAATTCGTTTTTTGCGAGAATCGAACCTAAAACATCTCACTTACAAGTGAAAATAATTATCATTAAGCGGCAAAACTCGAACATTTTAATTTCTTACAAACATATCTCCGCATATCATTAAGCAGCTGGAGGAGAACCTATCTTTCACGGAGTAGAATTCTCTCCCCTCATATTCCCATCCCCTTCCCTCCTCTCCCCTCATCTCACATAGTGTTTTTTGTCTTATTATCTCTATAATAAAAAAAAAAAATCAATATAAGATGTTGACGTGGTTAAACCGTAACCGTTCAAATAGGAGGAGAGGAAAGGGAGAGAGATTAGGAGAAGAGTGAATCCTCCTCCCACTTCCTTCCCACCCAACCTAATATCCCCGATCGCTCCCCTGTCCCCATTCTTCCCTTTTTTTTTTTTTTTTTTTTTTTGGAGTTTTTATTTTAATTTTGGCGTTATCACTCTTTTGTCATGTGTTATAAGTTAAAATTTCTTTTGGTCACTATGTCTTTAATGGCCCATTTGATCACTGTATTGTTTAATTTTAACAATTTTGACATGTTTGGCTTTGAGGGTGGGACTAGTTAGGCAGGTCATGCGAAGGGGCAGGGGCAGGGGCGGTCCAGGGGGTAGGCGACAAAGTGCGACCGCCATGAGCCCCCAGTCGGAATGCCCCCTCTCCCCAAATGTTTCAGTGGTACAGTGGTGAATGCCAATATTTTGTGCCAAATGGTCTTGTATTTGAGTTTTTGTGAAGCACTGATTGGTGTTTTTTTTTCCCCTTGTACTGCATGATTGCGCATTAGCCTGGTGGTTGGTAAATAATCATCCTTCGGCACGGAGGTACAAAAAGAAAAGGCAGGTTTAAAAATGATGCCCGCAACACATTTGAATATTATATAAATTCTACAGTGATAAGTTCCTAATCTAGTTTTTGCCCTAGGGCCCCAATTAGGTGGGGATGGTTCGAGGGATTAAATTTTAGTCACCATCCATCGTTATTTTCCTTCCTTATCAATGAGTGTATTTTCAGTCTTGATGTCAATCTAGGCTCGTTTATTATTTTTAATTTTATCTTTTTGGCTTTTAAAAATATTATTTTATTTAATTCATATGGTCTTATGGGATCGGTTTGGTGGACCCTACAAATATACCGTGTTAGTACACTAACAAAATTTTAATAGAACCCAACGGCATGAATAAAATTGATGAGTAACTATATAAATATAGATAGATGATCAAATGGATGAGTTTGGAACATGAAAAAACAGACAAAACCGTAATAAAACAAAAAACAAAAAACCAACCCTTTATTTCGCTGATAGAGATCTTTTTACATCCAACGTAAATCTAGAGAATTATGATTTCATTCTCCTCCCGTGAAGAATCCTTACAAATCACAATACAAAAAAAGGCGGCTCTCGTTTCCCGGCAAGTGGCTTACCCAAACAAACAACTCCCACCAAATATTTTCTTAAAAAAGAAGAATAAACAACAAAAACGAACAAATAAATAAATAAATAATGAAAAAAAAATATTAAAAAGCAAAAACAAGAAGTTCCTGAAACCAAAAGAAATCACCTTAGACGCCCCGTTCGTAAAATCGCCCCCCTTTTTTTTCTTCCAATAAAAAATTCTGCGTTTCTGTCTCGATTTTGCTTTCGATTTGGAAGAACGGGGTGTTTAGGTTTGAATTTCAATAAATAATCTGCAGATTTTGTAATTTAATTTTTTATTTGACATTTAGATGAGATATTATCAGATCAAATCTTAGAGATTACCGAGCGAAGAAAATCAAAGGCAGCAAAAAAAAAAATGGAGAATATGATGAGCAAGCTTCGGAATTTGGATGCTTACCCAAAAATCAATGAAGATTTCTACAGTCGTACACTCTCCGGCGGTGTTATCACTCTCGCTTCCTCCATCGTCATGCTCCTGCTCTTCCTCTCCGAGCTTCGTACGTTTCCTTATTATTTTTTTATATATGTATTGATATATGCAGATATGAATTTGTGCATGTATGTGTATGGTTGTTCTCTCTCTCTCTCTCTGTGAAGATCTCCATGATTAGATGTTCATTTGGGGAATGAAGATCTGTTAATTTCTAGGGTTTGTTCTCTAAATTGTGTTTCTTTTTTGTTTAATAGGGAGTTTAGGAATAGGACGAATTAAATTGTTTGAATTTCTGAATTCCAAGTCGTCCAAGTCAACGTTTTGTCAATCCTGATTGATCATCAAGGGATTTACAAAAATTATTGCTTGTGTCGAAATTGTGTTTTGCATTTTTTATACTGTTGTGTATTTTGTTTAATTGTGCGAGTGCAGGGTTATATCTCCATGCGGTAACGGAATCAAAGCTTGTGGTAGATACTTCTAGAGGCGAAACCTTACGAATCAATGTAATGTTTTTGTTTTTCCTCTCTAACAAGTGTCAAGTAGCTCCTATTCGATAACCTGATATCAAGGGCATTGCTTTGTTCCGTTCGGACGAGGAACTTTTTGACAATGGTTTGAAAATGTTGTGGTAAACTCCAACTTTTTTGCTAAACTAATGGATGCATGTGCTCTTTGACGTTCACAATTGCAGTTTGATGTGACTTTTGCTGCCTTGCCTTGTTCTATACTAAGTCTCGATGCCATGGACATCAGTGGCGAGCAGCACCTAGATGTAGTATGTATCCCAATTGATCGGTGATGAGATATAACTTTTGCTCTGAACTCTCCCTCTATGCAGCCACACATCACCGCTCGATGCATTCTGACTTGTATGCAATTTCTTGTTCTTGTGTACTTGCAGAAACATGACATTATCAAAAAAAGATTAGACTCCCATGGAAATGTGATAGAATCAAGGCCAGATGTTATTGGTGCACCCAAGGTAAGTATTACAATGTTGTATGGACAAAAAAGAATCAGAACGTTTGCATTTGATACATTAACAAGTTAAAGTATTCTGTAATTACCTGGTGTACGGAGAAAAGAGAATCAGAATAGTTATTTCCATTGGTTCTGTAATTTCAATTTCGTAACAAATTGCATTAAGGATCTACATAATATCTATTTGTTTTTACTCGTCTGTCGTCTACTCATACCTGTTTCTCCTTGACACACCTTGACACAGATTGATAAGCCCTTACAGAGACATGGTGGCAGGCTTGAGCACAATGAGACGTACTGTGGTTCATGTTATGGTGCAGAAGCGGTATGTTTGTTTGTCTGGATTGTTGTGCTAGATTTGTGTTAAATATAATGTGGGAAGTTGTTTCTGTTATAATGTTGGGAATGCTGAACTAGATAAGTGTAATCAGTCTACTCTGTAGATGTGTGTAAAGATGCTGCTTATGATATCCAGCTGCGGTGTTGTAAATAAAATGAAGCTATTTGGAGATCCAATTGGATTGGATGTGTTCTGATTCTGTAAATCTAAATTTACTAACTATGAACTAGAAAGACTCTTACCCACATGTGTGTGCATTACAATGGAAGTTACGTGTGGGAAGGGGGGAAATTGGGTCACGGATGATAAGGGTGAGGTTTCTGAGAGTAAAAACTGGAAATTGATTGGAAGTTGGGTAGTGTTTAATTATCATGCTATCCTTGTTTCTTAATCTAGTATTGAAGTGTTTAAAACGTCGGAAGTATATTGGGTTTTCATGCTCCTATATGTCGAACAATAGAGAGTTTATATAACAATATAGACAGACATGCCAATTCACTGCCTTAATAGACTGTAATAGGATATACAAAATAAACCTTTGCAATGCGCTTCTATTTCACTGTCCTCTCTATATATAGTTCACTATCACTTAAGCTTGATCATGATTATATATAGTTCACTGTCACTATGGCTTTTACTTTGGGTGTTATGTTCAGTAGCTATGTTTGTCACTGGTCCTCCATCCACTGCTTTAGTTTCTCCTTTGCGTTTCATTTCTCCTGTGGGTTTCTGCATGCATGCAGACAATGTTTTCATTTGATTTTCTGCTTCGTTTCATTTCTCCTATGGGTTTCTGCATGCGTGCAGACAATATTTTCATTTTGATTTTTTGCTGGAATTTTTTAGAAGCATTGTGATGATCGCTGAAATTTGGTCCATCACAATTGAGAATCATTCTACACAGATATTTTGAGCGAAAGAAGTTTCCTTAGTTATGTATTTCTTATTTTTCTAATTCCCTTTGTTTGTTTGTTTCTGTATTTTTGCAGGCTGACGAGGATTGTTGTAATTCATGTGAAGATGTCCGTGAAGCTTACCGAAAGAAAGGTTGGGCAATATCAAATCCCGATTTGATTGACCAGGTCAGCGAGCTCGAGATCTTGAATCCAAAAGAGCAGTCTTAAATGAGAAATTTTACTCTACATTTAATCTTGTGCATTAAAATGATCACCTTTGTTTAAAAAATTTCCCTGGGCAAGTCACATTTAGAAATGACTAGGTTTGATTTTGGATGTCTAATTTCATTCATGTTATCATCTGAAACCATTTGTCCAAAACTTTTCTCTGTCATATTCTACCTTTTACATGTCTCTCGAGTCCCTTACTATCATTATTTACCCCTCACCTTTTTGTGTCACCTGTTATAATTCTGTTCTTTTAACATTTCTAGTCTTTCTTATGTTATGTGTTTCACAACAGTGCAAAAGAGAAGGCTTTCTGCAAAGAATTAAAGATGAAGAAGGGGAAGGGTGCAATATATATGGATTTTTGGAAGTCAACAAGGTAGCTGGGAACTTCCATTTTGCACCTGGGAAAAGCTTTCAACAATCAAATGTTCATGTACATGATCTGTTGGCATTTCAAAAGGATAGTTTCAATGTAAGGCCTGATCACTAGTTTTTTTTTTTTTTTTTTTTCTAATGAGACATATTGGAAAATTAATGTATGAAAAAAAAAAAAATAGTGGCACCAATTTTCCCCAAATAAACATGAGAAAAAAGGTCTGATCCCTGATGTTTCTAGTTTTCTTTGTATATGTGGATAACGAAAATATAAGGAGACGAGTGAGATCAAATTATCAAAGTTCCTAGAAATATACTTCCTAAAACTTTGTCCTGCATCTTTGGAGAAGTTGTGTAATTAATATATATTACATGATACAGATAAGTCACACGATCAACAGATTGTCTTTTGGAGATTATTTCCCTGGTGTTGTAAATCCTCTTGATGGGTATGTTTCCTCTCTTCATTATATATTCTAGTCAACCTTATTATTTCCAAACATTTAAATACTTTTAAGGTTTTTCTGTTTATTACATCCTATATATTGATATTATATATGCTTATAAATTGGTTTTTCAACCTTCAGTGTGCACTGGACTCAAGACAACCCAAGTGGGATGTATCAATACTTTATCAAGGTCTGTTTCCTGCAGAATGGCTCTTATATCTTTTGCATTATTTTCTATGTTATTATAATGCCTGCAGTTTATTTACATCCTTTCACCATGTTCAATAATCTTTCATACATATGTATATGCTTATACACAATGAGCATGTACATGCACATGCGCACACACACAAAAAGAACGTGTATTGGAGTTAGCAAGAAAAAGGTTTAAACGGCAAGAGCAGAAGAAATCTACTGTTTAGATGTCACCGCTTTTTTTATGTTATTATAATGTCTGCAGTTTATTTACATCCTTTCACCATGTTCAATAATCTTTCATACATATGTATATGCTTATACATAGCTACATTTATGAGCATGTACATGTACATGCACGCACACACAAAAAGAACGTGTATTAGAGTTAGCAGGAAAAAGGTTTAAACGGCAAGAGCAGAAGAAATCTACTGTTTAGATGCCACCACTTTTTTTCTTTAGATTTACATGTAAGAATTTCTGGACTATGGATGTGCTGTATTTTTGTAGATAAAAGAGAATTAGTTCTTTTTCCCCTTCATTGTTGCATGGCAATATATAGCATGATCCAGCTATATAATGTCTTGCATACCGCTATTGGAAAGAAAAAAAAAACAAATTTAATAATTAAAAAGTTGAGTTATTTCAGAACTTGCGCATATTTGGTGTTGAATGATGACTCTGGTTCACCTAGCTGGCTATCTGCTTATTTCATTCCTTTGGCCCAAAACCTTGTGTTTTCACCTTTGAGTTGAGTTGCATATGAACTTAATTCTGTATGGATTACTAATATTAATAACCTTTTGTCGCATATCATAGATCTTATCTCGATTCCCCAATCAATCCTGATTACCTTGCTCTTTTGTGTACCTGTATATGGTGTTATACTCTTTAAACATATTTATTGCACGTCTGCATATACATTCCAAAGAGGAAAAACAAGTTCTAAGTGAACTTATTTACAGCTACTATTAGTCTTCCATCTGAAATAGTTGCCTTTTATCGTTGGCCACCTTTGTTGGATCAACCTATTTTGCCGCCAAGGAATTTAACGATCGTTTTTATTTTGCAGGTTGTACCTACTGTGTATACAGACGTGAGTGGGCACACTATACAGTCAAATCAGGTGCAGTAAACTCGAATTAAGCAAAGATTAAAAATGATGTAATTTCTAAGCTTTGTCTTTTACCAATTGAATATAACGTCTTATGTTCTAATAATTGGAATTTGCAGTTCTCTGTGACTGAACATTATAGGGGTGCAGAAATGGGCAACCTTCAGTTCCTTCCTGGAGTGTTTTTCTTCTATGATCTTTCTCCTATAAAGGTGGATTTTGTTTTCATTCTATTCCACAAGCTAGTTCAAGAACTAATTTTAACGATAATTCAAATCTTTTGCACTCCCTTCTGTTGAAGTTGAACCTATATTCTTATGCGGCCGACTTGCATGTTGCAGGTAACTTTCACGGAGGAGCATATTTCATTCCTGCACTTCCTGACAAATGTTTGTGCCATAGTCGGAGGTAATGACTAATTACCAATTTTCATCTCCCATCGTTGATTGTTTCTATTGACACAGTTTCCATCTTTTTAGTTTTTCTTTACTTCTAATGTCTTTTATGGATGTTGAAGTTACATTGTCATTTATCTGTTGATTATTTATCCACCGTTTTAGCATTCGTCACTAGTCATCAGTCATCTTGAACTGAACCTGTTGCAGCATATGCTGGATTTCTTTGGCTATCGTTATTAATAAGATGTGATGCATGTACTCTTTTTATCATTTCATTTCTGTTTTTCAGGTGTTTTTACAGTTTCGGGGATACTAGATTCATTTATATACCATGGCCAGAAGGCAATCAAGAAGAAGATGGAAATTGGCAAGTTTAGTTGAGTGGTTCTATTAGCATATGGTGCTGCTCCATTTGTTTGGTCCGCCTGTCAACGACTTTGTGCGACAGAATCGATCTAGGAAAGAGGAAGCTTGTAGTGCACTCTCATCACTGCTTGGGCAGAGGCATCGTCGTTGAATCGGAGACTTAAAAGAACTAGGTTGACATTCCTTAATTTAGACATGCCAAAATGCCCACAATGTTAAAACAGCTTTGTAATCGCTAAATCGTGATGTGAATCTCTGTTTGAAAGCCGAAAGAAGGGCTTCTTCATTTCCTCCGGGATATTCGATTCTCAATGGAGATCCAGGCACTTTACTCCCTCCCGAATTAATCTCTCGTCTTCTTTTCCTTCTTCCGACGTTCGACGATTTCGAACTCGTTGTCCTACTCTCTTTTTTGGGGTCTTGGTTAGTGGTTACTTGTCTTGCCCTTTGGTTTGGTACTAATGTTTGATTGACGGATAAAATTAGTGAACACAAATTTTTGCGGGTTGTGCATTCCTCAAAAACATGGATAGGATTTGCATCCGCTTAAAACTAAAACCAATGTATATAATAGCAACTAAACTCAATGAGATCCATGTATTACGCTCAACAATTAAATTCACCTGTATTCAACTTAAATTTTTTCGGTCCGTCGCATGAGTTATATATTTCAAATTTATAAGAATCAAACTCAAAATGTTCCGATCAATGTGAAGTGCCTCGAGTCAATATAAGCCTCCCACAATCATTTGTGTTTGTAAATGACATTTTGAGTCGGACATTAGGAACTGTGATAACTACATTCTTAAATCTCCGACATTCATTTGTTTATGTTTGATTTGTTTCGTGTTTTCTCATACTAGCTATACTAAAGTAAAGGACATGAAATCAAACACAAAATCTCAAATGCATTACAAACTTCTTAGGTTTAGATAAGGTGTTTTGAATTCCACATGGCACGTTTGTAAACTTTTTTAGAATGTTTCGGACAATGATCAAGATCTACCAACTAAACAATTCAAAATACAATAAATACGAATAATTCCAAAACATAAGACAAGGACAGAAACCGCGTCGGCAGCACAACCAATGTCCATAAAAAATTGGAGCATTTTGCAATTTAATTGTTGAGATTCTTGCACACAGCTCATCCGCAGAGGCAATTAGATCTAATCACCTTTAAACACCTTTTAACCTTTCACAGCAAAATGCCAAAACCATTCCCATCACCCAGAACAACCTTTGTACTGTTTCCACTGCCCCATTTCACACACCTTTCCCCCTTTTTCTATTCAAAGATGCTATTGCTTTCGAATCATATGTAAATCACACAAATATCATCTTGTTTTCAATAGAAATGACAACCATCTGCTCTTTTTTTTTCATCTTTACGCACATTTTGAATTGCGTATGTTATTTTTGTTTGATTTATAAAATTTAATATCAAAACATACACAGGGTATGTGTAGGAAGAAAAAAGAATAGTCATTTTTTTTGTGAGTAAAATTTTATGAACACATGAAACTGACATACTTGTTAACACTCTTTAATAGAGGTGAACCATATTATTGCATGTGCATTAGATGAGAGGAACTTGTATGATACAGCTACACTGTCACGGTAACACTAATGCCACTAATGCGAGGACATGTGGGGAGAATTAATACATGTCCTCATACCGCGACGTTGTATCTGTACCTTATAATTTATTGTATTAAAAAGCGTGTCAAGTGTATTAGTTTTGTGGATTAATAGCTATCACCTCTTACTTTTATAGACGGCCCCGTTTGGTTCCAAATGCCCCCACCGACTTTTTCTTTGCATCCTTTTTACACTTTTTCTGTGCATTTTTGACCTTCTAAGGCTGTACAAAATGCAGGATTGGAAGGACTGGAAGGAAGAATAAGAATAAAGATGGATATAGGGACACCCAAAGAATAAGAACAAAGTGTTTTTTCTGCTTAAGGTTTTAAACAGCAGCCGTGTTTTTAAATTATGGAGGCATCAAGCATGATTGTTGTGGATTTTTTTTTTTTTCAAAAAAATGGATCGGTTGGTGTTTTCGTCGTAGCAGTCCACCATTTCGAGATCGAAAAGATGCACAAAGGCATTACAGCTTCTCTCTGACCACCATCATTGTGAATTGTTAATCGTACTTGTCAATGAAAGAAAATGAAGGATCAAAGCTTCTCTCTTTATTTGTTGCTAGAATTATTAACCTACATGCAAATATTTGTGTTCATGGGCGAACTAGGATAGATTTGGCTTTGCTAGGGTTTAGTTACATGTGAGACTCATTTTACACAAACTGGTTTCGGTAAAATTTCTCTACAAAGAGAGATACCCTTTGTTTTCTTTACTCGAAAGTAGAACGATTGAAAACCTTACTATCGTTGGATTGTTACTGTTATGACCAATAATGCCCACTATCGTGAATAGGGCAATAATTATTGTTGATCTTTCTCATTTGACCACTATTGAGAAAAGAAATCTATAATGATGAAGTCAGAAGTAACTAGTCATCAATTTATGTTCCAACCGTGGTAGCGAGAATTCGTCGTTTTTAGTTTTGACAAATTTGTACTTACAAAACAATCAACGCTTTTAATCAATAACCTAAGTCTCACGCCGACTATTATAATTTACTTCACAATAACATTCTACTTTACGAGCCAAACTTAAAAACTTAACTAACCCTAATCACATTCAAAAAACTTTTGACTAAAATAAACTATTTAATCGTTGGGCGATTACTGCTACAACCAATAATATTTTTCCTTTATGGTAAATATGACGGTAATTATTGATGTTCTTTCACATTTTGACCTATATCAAGAAAAGAAATCTACAATGATGAAGTAGGAACAACGAGCCACCAATTCATATTATTGTTGTATTTTTTTTCAAATTTGACTACATAGTAATATTCTACTCTACAAGCCCAACATAAAAACTTAACTAACCCTAATTACATTCAAAAGAATTTTGATCGAAAACCGAAGGAGTTGAAAATCTTCCATATCCCTAAGAGATACCTTTATGACCAATAATGTTTTTTCGTTTATGGTAAATATGGCAATAATTATTGACGTTATTTCATATTCAACCACTATCGAGAAAAGAAAGCTACAAAGATGAAGTTGGAACTAACTAATCACCTATTCATGTTATTGCTATTTTTCCACATTTGACTACACAATAATATTCTACTCTACGAGCCAAACTCAAAAACTTGACTAACCCTAATTACATTCAAAAGAAGTTTGATCGAAAACCGAAAGGGCTGAAAATCTTCCCGGATACCTACGAGATACCGTTATGACCAATAATGTTTTTCGTTTATGGTAAATATGACAGTAATTATTGATGTTATTTCATATCCGATCACTATCAAGAAAAGAAAGCTATAAAGATGAAGTTGGAACTAACTAATCACCTATTCATGTTATTGCTGTTTTTTCACATTTGACTACACAATAATATTCTACTCTACGAGCCAAACTCAAAAACTTGACTAACCCTAATTACATTCAAAAGAATTTTGATCGAAAACCGAAAGGGCTGAAAATCGTCCCTACCCCTAAGCAGCCACCGTTACAGTGAATATGTTAGTAATTATTGATGTTCTTTCAAATTGGACCACTATAGGGAGAAGAGCTTCAATTGATGAGATAGTGCTAACTGGTCACCAATTCATGTTACCACTGTTCTTTTCATACATAAATTAGATATCAAATTCAACATGTATATTACATCGTAATCACCAATTACGTGAGCCGAACCGAACCGAACCAAAGGGTTGAGAACTTCCAAACACGTCTTTCACCCCGAACTGAAAGGGTTGAAAAACTTCCTTATCACTAGACGATTAACGTTATGACAAATAATGTTTTTCCTTACTAGTAAATATGGAAGTAACCAGGCCCTTTATATCTAAAAGGAATCCTATTTTCGGTGGGAATAGTTGTAGGATCCACTGCAAAAATTCAGTTTAATCCAAAACCATTTGCTTATTAATTATCACAATGAAATTTCTTTGCTTCTTGTACAGCAAAGTGTTTATCATTTTCCTTGCACGCAATTAGATGTCTCAAATATTTCCAATTTTGCTAATATTTTTGTAAGGATGATGCATGAGGTTCAACTTGAAAATAAGAAAACTCGTTCGTTGAAATTCAAGGTGGTGTGGGTCCACAACTAACACTCATTTCTGAAAAGAAAAAAACAAACTGAAAGTCTTCTTACCTTAAAGGCCTCTTGGAAGTAACTATTGATGTTGGATCGAAAGGACCACAAATGAGAAGCAAGGCAAAATGAATTCGTTCACTCGTCACAATTCAGGATAGGCCCGTGACTCACTCGCTAGTCACCGGAGCAACAAGAAACAGAACCTTTCCAGATTCTTAGCCGCAATGCAACCCATCACACTATCTAAAGTTGCGACACCTCCATCCAACTCATGACTCCCTACTGACTCAACATCACATGTTCTTCAATTATCTTCCCCATTTTCTGCCCACAAATCCAGTACGAATCAATTCTTTTCGACACAAAATCGACAACTCCAAGCTCCTCCCCAAACACATCCATCACAGAACTATCTCGATGACACCGGAATGCAGGGAGTCTCGTGTAGTGTTTTGCTTGGCTACCAAAAAACAAGTCCCAACTCTTCGTGTTCCTCACAAAATTTTGACCTGTTTATATTGCAAATCAACTGGTGAAGATTACCTTTGAAAAAATTATATTAAAACTGGTCCTTTAGCCAAAATACCAATCTATTATATTGACCATTATGTCAAAGATACATAGAACGATTCGTAATGTATTTTTATACAATTTGATAACTAAATGAACAAATCTTGCGGGATAATTGCGAGATGTGAGAAGATTAAAACACTAAGTTTTAATGTAAGAAATACAAACGCCAAGAGACTGAAATACATACAAGAGAATTCATACATACATATACATATAGATATATATAACGGAAGTTGAATCATTCATGGTGTAGCTAGGAAAAAACCAGCTGAACATGGTGAAGACTTTTTACATGATATTTATATTAACATAATAAAACCCAATTCAACCAACTAAAACCCTAATTCAAATGCAGCTCTGCAAATGCCAAAAACTTGATTGCAGTAACCACTATAAACCCTACTCAACTGACTCAATTACTTAAGACTGATGACCAGACTAAAACATACTCGATTACAATTTAACATGATTGATAAACACTAATTAACTGAGGATCGAAGCCCAATCAATCTCGGACGGATACTTCTCCAACACGGAAGTGCTCTCGGAAGCGCCGCTGTTCTCCCATGGCTCCGTGGAGTCGCAGAAAGTCAGATCAGACAGCGGCGAAGACCCGGCAGACCCTTCGCTATCAGTCGTCACCGGCGACGCGGTTTCAACCTTGACCGCTAAAGTCTCCGGTTCCGGCTGTCGGCTGGCGGCGGAGGACCTCTTGGCTGGCTTCCCTGACTTGCCCTGTTTCTGAGTCTCGGCCAAGCCTTCGCAGATGGCTTGAAGCTTGGCGTCGACTGAGGAATGCAGAGGCTTGTACTCACCGAACTCGCCTCCGACGACGGACCCGTTGTGGCGGAGGTGCGGGAAATTGAGCCTGGCGAAGTCGCCTCTGAGCTTGTACGCCGCCTTGTCGTAAGCCAAAGCGGCTTCCTCCGCCGTGTCGAAAGTTCCGAGCCAGAGCCTGGTGCGGTTCTTAGGGAGCCTGATCTCAGCGACCCATTTTCCCCAGTGGCGTTGCCTCACACCCCTGTAAAGCTTGGTGGGTTTCGGCGGCGAACCAGCCGAGCCCACCTGCTTCATCGGGATGGGCTTGGGGCTGAGGAAGCTGAGGGTACGAGACGACGTCTGGGAAACTTGGTGGTGGTAGTTATCCCAAGAGATTTGGGGCTGTTGGGGTTGGGATTGAGACTGGATCTGAGCTTGGATCTGGTGGATCTGGGAGGGGGTGAGGTGGTTCAGCCCGATTGACGGCGGTTGCTGCTCAAAGAACCCATCTGAAAACACCTGGGTCATAGAAGAGGTGGAGCAACCGTCGTGGTAGTAAGTGGGCTGGTTTGGGAAAGAGAGGAAGTCGTAGGAGGTAGAGGGGAAAGAAGGGAGGAGAGGGGCGGAGGAAAAGGGAGGAGAAGAGGTGGTGGTGGGAAGGGAAGACGGCGGCGGCGGCAATGAAGAAACACTTTTCATAAAAGGCTCAAGTGCTTCCATCAGCTCACCTCTGAAGGGATCTGATGATGAGTGAAGAGCTGATCTGCAACTGTAGAAATCCATTGTAGCTGCCATGCCTCCAAAACACACACTCAAATCACAAAATTAAAACTTTTTAGATAACACGAGAGAAATTAATTAATCTACAAATCAACCTGTTTCTTATCAAAATTAAAGAACAGGAAGCGGGTTTTTCACAGAAAATTAAGAACAACCCAAAAACAGAAAATGGGAAAGAGATTTTAAATAATCAACCTCTTTTACTCCCAGAAAATCGAACAAAAACCAACCTTGAGGGACCAAAAATTAACCCTCTAAACTGATTTTTCCAAACCCCCAAAAATAAAATTTTAATTTAGCTAAAACCTGAGAAAAAAATAATTATATAAAACCTGGATCTCGATTCTGAAAACACCTGGCTTTCGACTGAAAACTCCTTCTAAGTTTGCTTTTTTTTTTTTTTTTTTTATGTTATTTCCAAAAAACAAACCCAAAAATCATAACTCTTTGAAAGACAGATGATTAACAGAAAGGGATTCAGAGAAGCGGGGATTACAGAGAAGGGGGGGGGGAAGAACACACAAATTAAACCAGAAGATCAATCGCTCTTAAAACTCTCGAACACTGCTTTGCTGCTAAATTTTTTTTTTTTTTTCACTCCTCACTTTGTTTTTTCTCTGCAGGTGCATCTCCACCTCTATTATATAAGGGCCCTGGGGGATTAATTACCTTCGTTAATCACGTCGTTAATCCCAATTATCTCACTGTAAGCCCCACTTGCTGTTTTTTAAATTTTCTGCGTCCCTCTCGAGTCTGCCGCGCGTTCTGTTCGTGACGTAGGTTCATTCAATGAATGGGGTCCGGGCCAATGGATGTCTGCCACGTATAAGTTCTGTGCTTAGAGGCGGACACCTGTCCTTTTCCAACCGGCACCTGTCGGTGGACTCCCAGTTAGTCTTGGTCTGGCATAAATTTGTTGCCTAGCTTGTTGAATATTTTATGACGCGTTCATACCTCGTACCTTCCAAAATTTTTAAGCACTGACAAAAAAAATAAAATAAAAATCATCTCACTTTTTTTTTTGGGAATTAGCAGTGTTATCCATTGTAAATGGATTAATAATAATATAATTCTAATTCACTTTTAGTGAAAATTTAAATTTAAATTTTTTATTTACAAATAAAAATAAATACTACAAATTTGTATTATTAAGTGACAAAAATAAATATATCATTGAGTATAAAAAATATTAAGGACGTGTAATCGAAATGAGAATGTAGAATTGAATTCCGATTACGAAGTAATCTGGTATTTATTAAATATAGAGGAATAAAAAAAAAGCAATGGGGCCCACACAAATTTTGGAATTCAATTCCTTGAATTGGTGGAATTGTATTCCCTACATATAGATGGTAATCCAATTTCTGATTGTTTGGGTAATCGGAATGACACTTTTGTTCCTTTTGTGCCCTCATTTACTTTTTTTATTTCCAAGACTATCCTTTATAAACCTATTAAAGTATATAAAATATTTGATTTGGGACAAGGGCATTTTAGTAATCATACTAGTTTATATTTCGATTCTGCTGAATTAGTAAACAGCTTTATAGAATTCTATTCCGATTCCAGAACATTTAAGTAAACAGCTTCAACATGAATCCAATTCTGACTTCTCCTCATTCCAACTCATCATCAATTCAATTTCTCATATTTTCATTACCGTTACGTAAACGCGCCATAAAGTTTGACAAGCAGCAGGCCTACCTCTCTACCTAAAATGCAATGTGCTACAGTAGTTTAGTCCTCACCATATGCATATGTGATTTAGATTGGTTGATTGTGGTAAGAGTTCATTTTTATGCATTTTAATTCGAATATTCTTACTTATAAATTAAAATAATTTAACATAAGTTGTCGTTCTTGACTGTTGATCAACTCGAAATCTTGAATCCATTTTCGATAAGAATGTGAATATGAACTATAAGTCAACTTTATCAATCTTCTATATTGATTGTTTGATGTGTATTACTCTAAACAATAGTTCCATATGAGCATGATGATAAATTGTCATTTAACAATTTTTAATGATTTGCGTAAGAGAAATGATCTGTGAATTCTTCTTTTTGTTTATGCCTCTTGATTTTTTTTAGGGTAAATTACATAAAATTATATTAATTATTGGGTTATTAACAGTTTTATACCTCGTTTTTAAAAGTTTTAATGTGTCAGTTATCTGTCAATTTTTCTGTTAAATACTAACGTGATTTGAGGCGGAATCCATTTTCTATTAAAATATTAATAAAATAATAAATTACCCTAAAAAAAAAAATTCTCAACCCGACCATCCCTTCTCCCTCTGCCTTTCTCCCCCCTCCCTCCCTCATCTGCACATCCATCATTCCCTCACCCCCACCCCCCGACCCTCCCTCCCTTTCCTTTCTTCCCCAAACCCCAGTTCGTCTTCCCCAAACTCATCTTCATCTTCCCCGATCCCCCTTCCCTGCAACCCACCCCTTTCTTCCCCTCCCGTCCTCCCCAAACCCCAGTTCGTCTCCCCCCCCCCCCCCACTCGAGCCCAATCTACAACCCAGGAAAAAAAAAAAAACCATCTTCATCTTCCCCAACCCCCCTTCCCTGCAATTAATTAAATTACAAAATTACATTCACGAGGATTTGGCGCACTTGTCAATTGAAATTTAAATATACCATTTTCATAAAAATAAAAATAAAATTAGTGTAGGGAAGAGGGTGGGTGTGGAGGAGGAGGTGGAGGATGGGTGCATGGTGGGTTTGGGGAAGACGGCAGGGGGAAATAAGGGGTGGGTTGCAGGGAAAGGGGGTTGGGGAAGATGAAGATGGGTTTTTCTTTTTTTCCTGGGTTGCAGGTTGGGCTCGGGTGGGGGGGGTGGGGAAAAAGGAAGTGGTGGGGGTGGGGGGGGTGGGGGGTGGGGTGAGGGAATGATGGATGTGCACAGGAGGGAGGGAGGGGAAGAAAGGAAAGGGAGGGAGGGTCGAGGGTGGGGTGAGGGAATGATGGATGTGCAGAAGAGGGAGGGAGGGAGAAGGGATGGTCGGGGTTGGGGTTTTTTTTTTTTTTTTTTTTTAGGGTAATTTATTATTTTATTTCACATCAGCATTAAACAGAAAATTTGACAGACAACTGATTGAAGATATGACATTACAACAAATTCGAAGATAAAATATGACATTTAAACTTTTTAAAGATAAGATATAAAACTATTAATGACCCAATAGTTGAAGTAGTTTTATGTAATTTATCTTTTTTTTAATTATTTGATTCCAACGACGAAGAACTAGTATAAACTCTGTAAGAGCTCTCGTTAATCAGCCTCCCTTGATAATTGATAAAACAATACTACCTTAAATATACCGATAGAAGTGATTAGCAACCATTAATTACAATAAGTTTCGAAACATATCTCCTGACGGCAATGATCTATGCACTCACGAGCCACTATGTTTGACATAGCTAGGGCTGGTTTGGTATTGCTGTGCTTTGAAAAAAAGCTGCTTCTGCTGTGCTGTGAGAATAAGCAGCTGTGAAATAAAGCAGCAGAGTGTTTGGTAAACTTTTTTGTAAAAGTGCTTTTGAAAAAAAAAAAAGCAGTATTAGAGTATTTGGTAAACTTTTATGTAAAACAGATGTGAAAAAAAGCCAGTTTTTCAAAGCTAGGTTTTGCAGCTTCTTGTTTTTGGCTTTTTTTCATCCAAAACTGTGAAAAAAAGCTGAAGCTGAGTGTTTACCAAACACAAAAACAGCTCCCAGCTTTTTTTGATAGCAGCTTTTTTCAGAATCACCTCAGTACCAAACCAGGTCCTAGTATGTTATAAAATCTCATCCGCATGACAAGCTAGGTCACAAAAATAATTGGCTTGACACAATGCCACTGAACCTACTCCTCCCCATTTTAGGGTTGACAATTTGACAACAATTATTTAAAACATGTACAATTATTTAATGTGATGGTGTAGAGTAGTAGTGCAGCTATTATTTGTCTTAATAGTATTAGTTAGCAATTTTTGGATGATTAAGACACCCCCACATTCTTCAATTAATGGAAGCCTCTCGATTAAAATCATTGTTTTAAAAATTTCCGTTTGTTGCTGTCTATGCGCTAGATGGTTAGTCATTGCTCCGATTAATCATCAGACGTTTGAAAATTAAAAAAGAGTGCATAGGTGCCTACTTAGATACCTGTCTAAATCACGACTCTCACTTATACAGAGAAGTGATAACTTTCATTTTGCGTTTTATTTTTTCAATAATTTGTAAGAGATTTGTTAAATACTCAAACGAACACTCATTATATGATTATTTCTCATGTTCTCAATATGTTTAGTACCTTATAATTTATAGATATTTTGCAATTTATGTATCTACTACAATTATGTATCTTTTTTAAGTATAAATAGACTCTTATTTATATGATATAATAAATTTATTAAAACCCCCTAATTCGCCTAGGCCCAACCACTTAGGCGTTAAGTTCCAACCCGACATTCGACTAGTGTCGAATAAAATTTTTAAAGTGTTAATAACAATTTTATTAATTAATAATCACACAAAAAGTCGTATGCGCGTACCAAATCCTAGGTGGAGTGACAAGGACTTAAAGGAGTTATGACAGCCGTTGATGTTAGGGTCAGATGACACGAAAAAGTGGTCTTTGACGTCATGATTACAGATATCTGATGGTTGAGAGCCTGTCCCTTTCTATTTCGTCAATCAGGAGCTATCCTAATTAACAAGGTGACAACGTGGAAAAAGAAGGGAATATTTTTTATAATCATCTTCGAGTGATGATAATGTTACTAGTATTTTTATTATTATTGAATGAGCTTAAATTTTAATATATATGTAGCAGTTAGATGTAAAATTTTAAATTTTTACTCATTCAATAATATAAATATAATGATAGCATTACCATCACTTGAGGATGCAAAGTAAAAATGCACAAAAAAGAACGAAGCTTTGAGTTTTCAAGTTCTTAACTTAACCATGGTACATCAATGGTTTGATGTTTGCTAACCATGGTTAGATAGAAATTATTTAGGTGTGACTGCTCACATTCATCTTTCAAATTCACTAACGTATGTGTATATATGTATTAATACAATATTTAATCCATTTGGGTACTTGGACAAATGATTTTCGTAAATAGATATTTAAGAGCCGTTAGTTTTCACTTGTATTAAATTGAAATTTTTGTTCAGTTTTGTGGTTTTTATACTTCATACTTGGTATGTGCTAAAGGCGGACGAAAATAGAGACTAAAGTGGTCCCAAGATCATTCGAGTCTACAAAATATACATGTGAGGTGTTCCAAGAATCCTTTCAATATTTAGTATAGATCGTTTGTGTGCCTATTAAATGTTTGATGTAATGTATACTAGATATATCTTGACAAGTTGCGCCAACGCCACTCGATAAATTCTCTTTATATCACTCATCAGATTGCTTCAGCATACACCAATATCTATTGAAATATGTACAACAAGCCCACAAAATGAATAAACCTTTTTTGTTGCTTTGAACTTTATTTTTGTCTAAAAAACTTATATTTAACACGAGCATCCTGAAGATTCACGACTACATGTGTAGCGTTGCCCAAAATCAATTCTTTCAAGACTCGCTA